AATCTTATCAAAGAAGAGGCCTGTCTCACATTTTCAGGAAGATTGTTCCAGATTTTTAGTGGCCTCTCCATGTTTAGTCCTGACTCAGAAATATGATGCATTATTTTTGGCCCTAATAACTTCTCAGTTCTTGAGTAGAAAATATACTAATAAACATAGGCAAATGTATATATCTATGCATCATGTTCCGATTCCTACCAGCAGAGGGCAGCAAATGCAAACACATTTAAAGAAACACACACACAACATAAGTCCACCTCAACAACATTCTCACCTGCCCTTTTTGAGATACTGTATTTTTAGTCATTTTATGTGGTTTCTCCTCATGTATGTTTTTATAAATCATGAATTAGAGTTATTTCCGAGTTGGATCCTGTGTTGTCAGTGTCCATCTGCTGCACAACCATACAATAGACGTCATAAGTGGTGCAATTTTGCTTTTTATTCTAATTGTGATGACTTTCTTCCCCCAGGAGCACACCAAGGCAGGAGACTATCAGAAGGCTCTGCTGAGTCTGTGTGGACCTGAGGAATAACCTGCACCGGAGGATTTTACTGAAGCTACGTCTGCAACAAGAGAAAAACAGCCCTAAATAATGTACTTTATAAGTATTCAAGCAAATCATGTCTGTTGTAAAAAATAAAGGGTCATTTGAAGTTACAAAGTCCTTGCGTCTATGAAAAAGTACTGTTTGTAGAAGACGTTTAAAGAGATGGTGGTTAAGATGAGAAAGTCTGAATTTATATATTTTGATTATTTCTTGACATAAGAAAACACAAGGATGGCGTCTACAGTCTCAGTCCTGGGTCTACAGCCTCCGTCCTGGGTCTACAGTCTCAGTCCTGGGTCTACAGCCTCAGTCCTGGGTCTACAGCCTCAGTCCTGGGTCTACAGCCTCAGTCCTGGGTCTACAGCCTCAGTCCTGGGTCTACAGTCTCAGTCCTGGGTCTACAGCCTCAGTCCTGGGTCTACAGCCTCAGTCCTGGGTCTACAGCCTCAGTCCTGGGTCTACAGTCTCAGTCCTGGATCTACAGCCTCAGTCCTGGGTCTACAGTCTCAGTCCTGGGTCTACAGTCTCATTCCTGGGTCTACAGCCTCAGTCCTGGGTCTACAGCCTCAGTCCTGGTGTTTATCATTACATTTCCCTGAGTTTGAAACGCTTGATTTAGGGTTGTTATAAAAGTCATTCCAGAGACGCACAGCAGAGGGCGCTATAGACCGTAATCTCCAGCGGTAGTTTTTGAGCAAAAGCCGAATCATTTAGATCAATTGTTCCACTCAAAATACATTGTTATTAAAAGTATCAATGATAAATATATTTTATGAGTGTTCAATATTCACACACACACATTTTAGCTTTGTCTGTGGACATTAAAGGGGACACTGTAAAACATTTGGACCATTACTTGGTACAGTACAAATATTTTATACATGATAATAGCAGTCCATATTATTATAATTTTCAATGGGCCTTTATTTAGTTTGCAGTGAGTTCAATTACACGGTTTTCACAACATTCATTTCAAACAATTGTGTATTTTGTCGTCCTCTGAGTCTCCGTTCTTGTATGAAGATCTTTTAATCATTAGGGTGTTTTTCCCTGTTTGTTCGGCGCTAATATTTTAATTAAAAATGTTAATTTGACCTGAAGCGAAGAGAATTAGCATAGCACTAAACAAGCGTGTGCAGTGTTGCTGTTTAGACGCTCATGGTCTCTCAGGATCCAGCGGCATTTCCACCGAAGGAGAAGCAAAAACATGGCCTTGCAAAGATTCACACCAAGAAAGAATTTACGCCTCTCGTAAAAAGGACACAGTGATTGAAAACGAACGAATATTTTACTGAATCTAGAATAATGCTCGTGTCATGCAGTGGCAGCGGTTGGATGGACCAAAGTGAAGAATGGAGCTGAAATTTTAACAAGGCAATGGATTTATGAGCATTTTGTAATAATATTGATGAGAGCATTAGCCCTTTGTGATGCTTTATGTTTATTGGGAATATAAAAATAAAATATAGACCAAAGTGCTCTAAAACAGTATTTTGCAAAGCGTCGAGTTGCGATTTACACCCGGCATTGATGACAGCTTAATCTCCGCATCATAAAGAGGAAAGTGCTCCCATATTTTTCTTTTTTTTTATATGGATGTACTACAAGCTGTTGTGTCCAAGGCCAGCCCGCCGGGACCTGGGCACACCCAAGGGGAACTCTCTTCTCAATTGAAACGAGGCAATTTACTGTTCGGAACGTCGCCACTTCATCATCCGGACAAGTTTAAGCCCATGAATGTCAAACAGGGACGGAGATGGAGCAGCATGCATTACCGGGCCCCAGCATGCATTACCGGGCCCCGGCGAGCGCTGATCGGGCTAATCACCACACAACAGGCTGTCATTACCGACTGCGGGTCACTGGTCACGCTGTTGTTCTCTGCAGGGGACGTGTCTGCTGCAAGGTACAATGCACAGCTCCAGGGCCCTACTGCATGGTCGAGCGGCTGCACGGGGGCCCCGGCTGCGGCTGCACGGGGGCCCCGGCTGCGGCTGCACAGGGGCCACGGCTGCGGACGCACGGTTCTTGGAGAAGTATGTACAGAATTGTGTGGTATTTGTTGAGCGAGATTCCGATGCAATTTTTGCCATATCATATCCTGAATTTCTCCAACAGGGGATCAATAAAGTGTCTCTCTCTCTCTCTACAGTCTCTCTCTCTACAGTCTCTCTCTCTCTCTTTGTGTCTCTCGCGCTGTCTCTCTCTCTGTCTCTCTCTCTACTGTATAGTCTTTGTCTCTCTCTCTACAGTCTCTCTCTCTCTACAGTCTCTCTGTCTCTCTCTCTACAGTCTCTCTCTCTCTACAGTCTCTCTGTCTCTCTCTCTACAGTCTCTCTCTCTCTACTGTCTCTCTCTCTCTCTACAGTCTCTCTCTCTCTACAGTCTCTCTGTCTCTCTCTCTACAGTCTCTCTCTCTCTACTGTCTCTCTCTCTCTCTACAGTCTCTCTCTCTACTGTCTCTCTCTCTCTCTACAGTCTCTCTCTCTCTACAGTCTCTCTCTCTACAGTCTCTCTCTCTCTACAGTCTCTCTTTCTCTACAGTCTCTCTCTCTCTACAGTCTCTCTCTCTACAGTCTCTCTCTCTCTCTTTGTGTCTCTCGCGCTCTGTCTCTCTCCCTGGTCTCTCTCTCTACTGTATAGTCTTTGTCTCTCTCTTTGTCTCTCTCTCTGTGTCTCTCGCGCTCTGTCTTTCTCTCTACAGTCTCTCTCTCTCTCTCTTTGTGTTTCTCGCGCTCTGTCTCTCTCCCTGGTCTCCCTCTCTACTGTATAGTCTTTGTCTCTCTTTCTACAGTCTCTCTCTCTCTCTGTCTCTCTCTCTTTGTGTCTCTCGCGCTCTGTCTCTCTCTCTACAGTTTGTCTCTCTCACTCTCTCTCTTTTTTCTCTCTGGTCTCTCTCTCTTGACCTCTGACCTGCGTAACACCGACTCACACACTTCCAATCCACCTCACACTCATCTGTTTTGCAGCATAATCACACAACCTCTGCTCATGCTGCTTTTGACTTTGTATTTTAACTGTGAAATGTGCTAAACAAATAAATCTGACATTGGCATTATATACTCAAGGAAATATTGGGAGACAAAAATAAACTTGCTTTTTCCATTCACCACAAAATAGACTCAAATCCGGAGAAATTTCACAAAATTCAAGAGATTTTTTTCCTCTGTTTTGTCCTTGGTTGGTTTGACATGAACTTTAATAAGTGCTTTCTTTTACGATTTACTAATTGCGATTAATGCCATAACAACCTTCTCAGGCTGACCCGCTCGGCACTAGCACCAGGTGGCACCAGGTGGCACCAGGTGGGCTCGGTCTCCTCCTCACCTCCAGCTCCAGCTCCAGGCTCCATTAAAGTTTCACTCTCCAGATGTTGTCCCCCCCTCAAGAGGTGCCCCCCCCACACAAACCCACACACACACACACACACACACACACACACACATCCTTCCATTGTTGTGCAGTGTCGTCACATACAGTATGGGCGACGTTTTTATTTTGTATGTTTTTATTTCATTCATTAAAGCTGCATTACCTGACTTTATTTTTGTATTCATGAGTTAAATCCAACCCATGTCCATGCAGTGCTTTGGGATAAACGTCCTTTTGAAGAAAAAGTAGCGCAGATTTGTGCTGCCGTGTCATTTTATTTAGATCGAGTTTTGGTGAAACAAGGAAGAGAATGTGTTTCGGGACCAGATTTTGACCAATCACAGCGGACCACTGGCCCCCACAGGTCTGTGGTTAGCACAGACAGGTCTGTGGTAAACACAGACAGGTCTGTGGTAAACAAGCGGCGGAGGCTAACCTGAAACTTCCCGTGTCTTTGTTTCCGGTTACCGCTTACTCAGAGAAACAGACAAAAGAAAGTCTCGTTCCTCTGCACTTCCTGCTTCTATCGTTCTATGGTCACGCCACGTTCAGATGTGCGATCCATGTGAGACGTGAGCTCCGTAAACAGTTAGCTCGTTAGCACATTTCTCAAAGTCAGTTAGTGCAGCTTTAAAGACAACGAAACAGACAAACACATCGACATAAAACAAAAACACAAAAGTACAAACAGAACAAACAACACAAAGATTTATTTTATTTATTTATTCAGACGTTGTACAGTAAATGAAATGTCCGTGTCAGCTCTTTTCTGCGTTTTCAGCTCTGAGAAGCAGCGATGGTGGAAACAGAAACACACAGGACTGAAATAGACTTGTTTAAGAACTATTTTTAGAACAAAACCTCAACTTGAGAAATTGGGTTTGTCTCATCTCTGTCTGTAAATGTGTATGACAGAATTACATACAGTCCCTTTAAAGTGACACTAAACCAACGTGTGTCAAGACTTATTCAGCCCGTCGAAACATAGATGTGTTATTGTTGTTGTTTACTGTAACAATCATTTTATTTATATTTATTTTGTATTAATATACGTGTCACAAGTTTCATAACTGTGTAAAACCTAGAGTAGAAAATGATCTGAAGAGAACAGACTGAAACTGAGGGTGTGGGAGAGGGGGAAATGTTTAGAGATTGCTTTAGGAACGTATGCACTGCAAAAAGTGACAAAAAAAAAGTAAAAAATGGCTCAAATTTGGCAAAATGTCCTTATTTAAGCACATTCTGACTGCTTTAAAATTATATTCACCAACGGGATAAAGCAAAATGATCTTGTTTTAAAAAGATACATAAATGTCTCCCTTGGAATGAGAAAATAAAACAACAGTTCTTGAAATGAGACTAACATTCTTAAAGTCTCATTGGCAAATCTGGTCAGAATTTGCTAAAAATCACTAAATTCAAGAAATTATTTAATTTGTCATAATAATAATAATAATAATGCATTGTTTTTATACAGCGCTTTTCTGGACACTCAAAGTCTCTTCATGTCATTATTCATTCTCTCCAAACACTACTGTAGCCACAGCTGCCCTGGGGCACACTGACAGAAGCGAGGCAACCAGTCTGTGTCATCGGCCCCTCCCACCACCACCAACCATTCACACACACACCAGACTCATTCTAATGTGGGGGAAGTGTCTTGCCCAAGGACACCACAGTAGTTTGGCCCCACTGTGGCTGTAAAGATATACATTGACATTATTTACATGTTGTTTTGTTTTTGGTGTTTCACAAAGAACCAACAAACTGTAAATATTAGTTTGTGTGAGTGACTGTTGACGTTTTTGAATTGAACAAAAAAGTATTTTCTTTGCTCTCTTTGGGGAATCTGCCTCGTCGAACGTTCCCATTAAGATAAAGATAAAGAGATCCTTTGTTTGTCCCACAGCCGGGAAATGTCAGTGTTGCACCACAAGTTCTAGAACAGTGGGAGAGAGCAGCACACGGCACAAGATCCTGTAAGTGAACAACAGCTGTACTCATTCAAATAAAACCAAAGCTCCTTAACCACATTGACACACAGCTGTACCACATTTATGAATTTAAATTAAACTTTAATCACTGAAATACAGTGAACTACAGATACAGTAGTTATCTGCAGTTCATCCAGAGTGATCATGGGCCTCTTGGCTGCATCTCTGATCAGTCTTCTCCTTGTTTGAGAAAAGTTTGGAGGGACGGCCGGGTCTTGGTAGATTTGCAGTGGTCTGATACTCCTTCCATTTCAATTTAATTGCTTGCACAGTGCTCCTTGAGATGTTTAAAGCTTGGGAAATCTTTTTGTATCCAAATCCAGCTTTAAACTTTTCCACAACAGTATCTCGGACCTGCCTGGTGTGTTCCTTTGTCTTCATGGTTCTCTCTGCGCTTTAAACAGAACCCTGAGACTATCAAAGAGCAGGTGCATTTATACGGAGACTTGATTACACACAGGTGCATTCTATTTATCATCATCAGTCATTTAGGACAACATTGGATCATTCAAAGATCCTCACTGAACTTCTGGACTGAGTTTGCTGCACTGAAAGTAAAGGGGCCCAATAATATTGCACGCCCCACTTTTCAGTTTTTTATTTGTTAAAAAAGTTTAAATTATCCAATACATTTCGTTCCACTTCACGATTGTGTCCCACTTGTTGTTGATTCATGACAAAAAATTAAAATTTTATATCTTTATGTTTGAAGCCTGAAATGTGGCGAAATGTTGAAAGGTTCAAGGGGGCCGAAAACTTTCGCAAGGCACTGTATATTATAAATGAAATGAAATTGTCGTGGAATTCGTCATAACTGAAGTTCTTGCTATACTTGCTCTATTATGCTAAAGTTAGAGATTTCAATGAATTCTAGTTTAGACTTATGGTTAACTTATCTTGTTCTGTGTCCTACTAACTCACGATGCGACACTGACATTTCCTCTCTACATTGTCACTCATTACCGTCCAAACACTTCATTATGTCAAAAAAATCAAAGCACACAAATCTAAGGCGTTTTCTTTCCTCTGATTTGAATTCTTAGTTATATCTCTCATTAAGAACCAACGGCTGTTTCATCATGGAGCGCTGGGGCCACAGAGGTCCCCTTTAAAGGCCTCCAGCATCAGCACCAAGCCAGCGACTCCTACAGGCACCGCTCCTCTCTGATTAATATTTTTCTTAATTATGATTTTTTAATTCCTCCCCTGCTCTCTCTCTCTCTCCTCCCGTCCTGAGTGAAGGGGTGCAGTCTAGCGTCTGAATGTGGGCGCTCATTAAGGCCGCGGAGGGACTGCTTCTGTATACGGTAAATAAAAGACGCCAGGCCTGGGGCAGAGTTGGCAGCGCTCTGAAGGACATCTCCGTCTAAAAAACTGAAGTTTGAGCGCTTTGAGAGAGAGAGAGAGAGCGGCCCGTGGCGTCGGCAGAGCACTCTCCTTTCATGAGGCTCGCACTGAGACAGGGAGGATGAGGAGGATGAGGGCCGCTTTGTTCCGGTGACAGAGAGAAGCCGAAAGAAAAACCCTGTCTCCTGGCGCCGCTGTCGGGCCGCGGCCGACACCAAAGACCCCCAGAAGTTCATGGGTCCACGGGCGCCGCGCTCAAGCCTCGGCGTCTTTGAAGAGTTCTGGTCCTGTCGACTTGTGGAGATACAAAGTGAATCTTGACTTCTGCAGAGTAGCACTAGTTTACACACTCACAGAGCAACTTGTAAACTAGAGGCTGGAGCAGACACAGGGCCTTCCGCTAATATTGGGGTCTCTGGATTTGTGGGTTTGAGACTTTTCCACTAATGCAAAGACTTCTGATCATGATGGACACACAATTGAATCTAAAAACTGAGAGGTTGAGGAATAAATTGTTTTCCCTTTTTCAAAGCAGCAACAAAATAAGCAAGTTCAAGGTCTTTATGTAGAATTTGTGCCGTAGAATTGAGATCGATTGAGAATATATTGAATGATTCTAGTCAGATATTTTCTCTCTTTATATTCTAAGCAGCGGAATTGGGTGACAACTTAGTACTTACATGATCCACTCGGCACGGTGGCTGAGTGGATAGCACTCTCGCCTCTCAGCAAGAAGGTCCTGGGTTCGAATCCCAGTCGGCCCAGGGCCTTTCTGAGTGGAGTTTGCATGTTCTCCCCGTGTCTGCGTAGGTTTCCTCCGGGTACTCCGGTTTCCCCTACCAATAAAAATATGTCCAATACTTCTGGCATGTGCCTCCTGTACTGGCCCCGCTCCCATCTCTGTGTGGAGTGAGAGACAAATGCCCAAAAATTAACAATTGTAAACCGCTTTGAGACTCAGATCTGCAGTGAAAAGGTGGTATATAAATAAAGATTACTTACTACTACTACTACTACTACATGAGTCTCACTGGGCCCAGGGCAGACTGACAGGAGACCCAGGCACAGACTCGTTCTCTGCAATGTGGGCAAAGTGTCTTAAGGAATCCATGGCAGTTACATCTAATACATCTGAAACTCCAAACTGTGAATCTATAAAAGCATCAAACTCCCACAAACAGTTTTTAAAAGCATATTTATTTTGGCTTCTATCACAATCTTAGAGCAGAACAGAGAGCACCGAGACAAACGACTCTAACCCTCAAATATGGACTCGTGTTGAACAAGACATGAAAAGACTTTTTGTTCTGGTCCGGCTCGTCCTCTCGGAACATGTTCATGAACGCATCGCTCCAGAACCTTGGGATATTTTCCATCTGTCGTCCCACAGTCGCACTCACAACCGCTCATTCACCCTGAACTATTGACATATTTTTCAATGGTAGGGGAAACCGGAGCACACGGAGGAAACCTATGCAGACGCGGGAGAGAGCATGTAAACTCCCCATGGAAAACCGAAGCACCCAGAGGAAACCTCCGCAGATGCAGGAGGAGAACATGCAAACTCAGATTATGGAATCCATGGCAGAATCAGAATTATTTGTCATTTTTAGTAACAAGAAGTCACAGATGAGGAAATGGCTTTGGCTTTCGAGGAGTCAGGAAGTAAACACAGCGTAAACACAGAATAACATTTACTTTGTGTCTTAAATGTACTCCTACAAACTGTACAAGACTAGATACAATTTACTACTATATACAAACTCAGAAAGGCCCCGTTCCCACCGGGATTTGAACCCAGAAGCGAGAGAGCTAACCACTCAGCCACCATGTCGCCCGTGTCAAACGAAAAAAGTTAGATACTCCAGAGTCTAGCTTTAAAGACCTTATGCCGGGTTTGATTTATTTAGAAAAACAGTTTTAATACCATTTTATATTAGAAGAGAACTACTAAAGGTTTCAAAATCAGTTGTTGTTTTTTTTGTCTGATCCCCCCAAATCGAAATAACCCCATAGCAACGCCCTTAGAAACGAAAAAACTTCACAGCCCTTGGTGACGTCAGAGTGGGTACGTTTCAACGCTGTAAGTTGTTTACAATTTGGTATTTGTTCTTTTTTCGCGGATATTCAAGATAACAAGGCCGTGTACAGCGAGTCTGAGATAACTACTAGATTGTGACTCTTCGTTGTCACTGAGATAGTCCAGTGGTTGTGTTGATGGACTGTCAATCCAGACACTGGGGTTCAAATCCCACCTCAGACACTTTTTCACTCTCAAAACAGCAATTTATGTGTAGTGAGCAATTGTCACCTGTAGAGGGCAGTATTGTGTTGGGCATCAGTGGAGAGAAGAGAGAAAAGGCAGTCCTGTGGCATAGATCCATGGTTTTCAATGCATGGGCGTTACCCGCTGTGACGTCACACACAGGTTAGAGCATAGACAGCTTAAATTCATGAAAAGCACGTTCTTTTTATAAAATATAGGAATTTTTTTGACGGAATCTCTTTCAGATTGACATTGTCATGCAATTTTGATATCCACCATTTTTTAAAAAAAACCCGGCATAAGGTCTTTAAAGGACAACTCACCCTCAAATCCACTTTTTTTTGCTGATAAACGGTATAAATGAGTGTCCAATAGTGTTGTCTACATATCCTGATCATAATCTTGTCACTTTGGTGCAAATTAGTTGAAAGTTAGACTTTCTGCCTAAAACCGTCTGTGAGGCGCCATCTGCTGGCGACCTGTATTACTACATTTGAATTTTGAATCTGGCGCCAACACTGGCACAGAAGTTGGACCTGACGTCTGCAAGTTGGACCTGACGTCAGCAGCCCCCCGCCCAGAGCAATGTAAACGGCCCAGTCTCGTTCACGCCCCCTTTAGTCCTCCAGGCTACGCCCATTTAGAGGAAGATTTGAACAGGAAATGTGAGTAACGTAAGCTCCGAGGAGCGGGGGTGAGAACCTCTTTAACTAAAGCCATATTTCAAATCTTTATGTCAGACAGAAAGCCCCGCCCTCTCCTCTTTTTTGAACAAAACTCTCTGCTCTTATTGGACGAGCACGTATCACCAGAATGATTGACAGTTCGGAGGACCAATAGTCTTGATGGTCCACCAGGAAGTAGAAACTGCTCCTATATAAATAAATAAATAAAAATTACTATATACATTTAAGTCAGAGTCAAAGCCATCATCTTTTGTTGGTGGTTTTTTGTGTGTGTCTTTAACGTTTTTGTGTGTTTTTTGTGTGTGTTGTTTTTACTATTAATTCATATTGTATTATCATTACTATCTATGATTTACTTATTGATTTCTTTAACTTGTTTCAACAGAATATTGTGGATTTTGACCAAATTGAGATACCAAAAGTGTACTTTGGACTGAGCAAATTCACATTCTATTAACAATAAGTAACTTGAAAACAATAGAAATTAACAAAAAAGAAAAAGATCTAGTCATTTTCGGGTCATATTAAAGCCCAGACACATACGACAAAAGTTTTTCCATCGCACAATCATATCTCTAACATATTCCTGAGCTCTCGGCCTGGACCATGTGGGGACCATGTGTACAGCACCAGTGATATAGCCATAGTATGAAGGGCTAGCGGCTAATCCCGTCCACACACATTCATGTTTATTTACGCCACGGCAAATAAGAAAACCGTGGAGCAGCGAGTGGAGACAGAATAATGGCGGCTAATTAAACTGCTTTGCTTTCGATTCATCCATTAGCCGTAACTCGGGCGTGCATAGCTAATGTAATCATGTAAAATACGGCGTGCGCGGGAGGTGACCACGGCGAGGTCCGTGTAAATCAGTACAGCGTGTCAGAGCAGACTAAATGTATTGAGATGGCTGCCGTAAATTTGAGGATTGTCAAAATATGTGCTCACAATCTGGTGAGGGATGTGACCCAGAGTGTGTTTGTGTGGTGAGGGTCTGGGCGGCGGCTCTGTTGGGGGGCAGAGTACCACAACCAGGCTGGGCTAGGCTGGGCTAGGCTAGGCTAGGCTAGGTTTATTTGTGGAGCACAGTTCCGTCACGGAAAAATCTACATTGTTTCTTAAATGTTTACTACTATATACACGACTAGATACAATTTACTACTATATACACAATTTACTACTATATACACGACTAGACACAATTTACTACTATATACACGACTAGACACAATTTACTACTATATACACGACTAGATACAATTTACTACTATATACACAACTAGATACAATTTACTACTATATACACGACTAGATACAATTTACTACTAGATACACAATTTACTACTATATACACGACTAGACACAATTTAATACTATACACACGACTAGATACAATTTACTACTATATACACGACTAGATACAATTTACTACTATATACACGACTAGATACAATTTACTACTATATACACAACTAGATACAATTTACTACTATATACACGACTAGACACAATTTACTACTATATACACGACTAGATACAATTTACTACTATATACACGACTAGACACAATTTACTACTATATACACAATTTACTACTATATACACGACTAGACACAATTTACTACTATATACACGACTAGATACAATTTACTACTATATACACGACTAGATACAATTTACTACTATATACACGACTAGATACAATTTACTACTATATACACGACTAGACACAATTTACTACTATATACACAATTTACTACTATATACACGACTAGATACAATTTACTACTATATACACGACTATATACAATTTACTACTATATACACAATTTACTACTATATACACGACTAGACACAATTTATCACTATATACACGACTAGATACAATTTACTACTATATACACGACTAGATACAATTTACTACATATACACGACTAGATACAATTTACTACTATATACACGACTAGATACAATTTACTACTATATACACGACTAGATACAATTTACTACTATATACACAACTAGATACAATTTACTACTATATACACAACTAGATACAATTTACTACTATATACACGACTAGATACAATTTACTACTATATACACAACTAGATACAATTTACTACTATATACACAACTAGATACAATTTACTACTATATACACAACTAGACACAATTTACTACTATATACACGACTAGATACAATTTACTACTATATACACGACTAGATACAATTTACTACTATATACACGACTAGATACAATTTACTACTATATACACAAAT